TGTTTTCCAGGGGGAAGGTCCACTGCTTTCATTAGATTCTCAATGTGTCTGATAAAAATTCTTTAGGAACTACTGTATTTGTTTAATAAATGTAGTATATTCTAACTAAAGCTAAAAGGAGAAAATGAATTGCTATGGTTGAACTGTGTGCCCTCCTAAAGTCCCATGTTGAAGCTCCAGTACTTCCAGAATGTTATGGTATTTGCAGATAGGGTCTTTACAGAGGTAATCAAGTTAAAGGGAGGTCATTAAGGAGGCCCCTAATCCAATGACTGGTGTTCTGATAAGAAGAGAAAATTTAGATACAAGCATGTGTAGAGAGAAGATGATGTGAAGACACAGGGATATGGATGAAAAGGGGGCTCTCTAATAAATATGACTGAAAATAACCTCACAGGGTGACGACCAGATCATAAATCTCTAATTGGGCAGGTCACACCTACCACCTATAAAAAGGTTTATCTTTGCCTGAAGCAAGCCCTGTCCATTGTTCTTATGCATCTGGTAAACTCAACCTTAAAATGCCAGAATAATCCTCTTTTGTAGATAGCTCAAAGGAGTAACCACCCTGGAGGGAGCACATAATCTTGTTCACTATTCTGTATCTTGCTTTTCTCACTTTCACATAATCTTCCATACATTCCCTCTTTTGTTACAAATTTATAAAAGAAACTGCAAAACCATCATTCTCTGGAACATCTGAGATCTTGCTTCCTGGCATGATGTCAGTTCGGATGAAATAAACTTTTACAAACTTCTCCACAGGTTTGAACGTTTCTTATGTCAACGGGGAGGAGATGGCCATCTCTAAGCCAAGGAGAGGGCTCTAAAACAGATCCTTCTCTTACAGCCAAAAGGAACAAATCCTGCCAACACACTGATCTTAGACTTCTGGCCCCCAGAACCATGAGACAATAAATTTCTGTTGCTTAAGCCACTCAGTTTGTGGTACTTTGTTATGGCAGTTCTAGTAAACTAATAAACTAATACTGGATTTAGGGTAAAGTTCCACAATCCATTATTTTTCTTAAGTTAGCACTTAAGTTCCTACACAAATTCTAATTTACTCAGGTTCTCATTCTCAAATTTTATAAATTCTGATTTTGTCAGATTTGTCTCTCTAGGAAAATAAGAATGAAGAAAAAATTAATTAGCTAAATTATGGAGCTCAGGAGCATCAGATCGTGACTGGGTGCCAGAATTCTGGCCTGGGGATCGAGCCCACAACCCAGGCCTGTGACCTGACTGGGAATCCAACCCTGATGTCCTGGTTCATAGGTCGATGCTCATTCTCATTCTCTCATGAGTTTACAGTGGCGTATTCTAGAGGCTATATGACCTGTGGCGTTGCAAATGACTAAGTACAAAATGAAATGAGAATCCAGCTTTCTTCAATTAAGCCAGACAGTAAAGACATTTGAAAAAATTTAAAACAATACCACTCTTCTTGCTAAGTTAGAAAAATAATTATGTTAATATGTTACAAGTTTACTATTTTTTAAATTATTATTTAAAAAATTTCTTAGTTCTAATTTCTAATATGGCAATTATTAATTAGATACAAGTTTTAAAAGCCTTTTTAGAGTCCTTAATTTTTAAAAGTGTAAAGAATACCTCCAGTCAAAAAATTTGAGAACCAAAATCTAGTCTTTGCATAAACTGCTCAAATTGTACAAATTGGTCTAAAGCAATTACTCACCCAAAATGCAGGAAATCCCTCCTTAAGAAGGCCTGCACCTCAAAGTTTTTACTTAGATTTTTTCCCCCTACCTCTTGGAGCATACATGTTGCTAGCTAGCTTTTGAACCTGTTAATATGTGGCTTTCATTAAGCCTTTTCTTGATTTTTTTTTATAATCTTACATGCTACCTGTTAGTTTGATCTGCATATTTTTTCAGCTTGTTTTGCACTTTAATTATCTGTATACTTGTTGCTAGATTGTGATTGTTTGTGTGCCCTCCTGCCCCGAATTCATATATTGATATCCTAATGCCTGATATGAGGGCATTAGAAGTTGGGGTCTCTGGGAGATGTTTAGGTAATGAGGGTGAAGCCCTTCTACATGGGATTAGTATTCTTATGAAAGGGTTTCCACAGCACCTTCTGCCATTTGAGGCTGCAAGTGTGCAACCTGGAAGCAAGTCCTCAATTAACCATTCTGACTCCATCTTGTACTTCCAGCCTCCAGAACTGTGAGAAATAAGTTTATGTTGTTTATAAGCCACCCAGTCTGGGTATTTTGTTACAGCAGCATGAATGGACTAAGACACTTCTCATTTCTCACAGACTATTAAGTCCGTGAAGGCAAAACAGTATAGTGTGGAAAGAGAATGTGCTTTGGGATCTAACACGCTTGGATTTGAATTCTACCTTCCTTCTTAGCAACTCTGAGACCCTGGGCACACTTCTTAAATTCTTAGGGCTCTAGTTCCCACGTTCTTGAATGGGGATAACAAGAACTATCCTGTTGTCATCCCCACTGAATACAAGAGCTTAGCACACAATGGTAACTAGCACTAGTAGAAATCTCTGTAAATCCTCTATTTCCAATCACATTACTTTGATAAGGACCACAGACACTTGATAAATATTTCTTGAATTAGATGAATTGAAATGTAACATGTTATAGGACCTTTCCCCTTGAAGTAGGAAAAAAAAATGAGGCCATAAGGTCATCTACTTTTTGTCTTTTAGATTAACATTTTTTGTTATAAAACACTAGGATTATTTTCTTTGTCTCTCTGAACCTTGTCTTTGTTTCTCATTCCTCTTAATCTGTAACTATAAAGTTCTCAATAGATTTTTGACAGAATCTATAACTATCTCTTAAGTATAATCTTTTGCTTCCCCTATGATTGCTCCTAATAACCATTAGATTTTCCCACAAATTTGAAAGGTATACTAGTCTTTCTGAGATTGCTAAAGAGAGATTCTTTCATTTCCTTTTGTGGTGGCAAAAATACTTTTTTCATACTTCTTCCATCAGACATACATCTTTAGCTTCTACAAATAAAATGGATTTAAGTCTTAGTATAACCTAAATACACAGATGTCAGTGGCTGAATATATCAGAAAACACATTTTATCTGTAAAAAATTTTTTCAAAAAATTCAATGAAAATTTGTGTCTCTTCATTATCAAATTATGACAGATCTCAGAGACTAGGAAAAGGCTCTCTCCTTGCCTCATCAAACTTCCAAGAATCAACAGGTCTAAATCACTGATGCTAAGAGTATTGTTAATTTCAAATTGTTTGAGGGGAGGGAAATAGAATATAATCTAATAATGGTAAAAGAAAAACAGCCCAACTCCTTGGGAAATTTCTCTCCTTGTTTTTTTTACACGCTTCTGTAACCGAAGCATGTAGTCAGTGACAATATTTCTCAAAAAGACTCAAATTCTAAAAATTTCTTACATCCCTACATTTTCTTCTCCCATATCTCGCCGGGCGTTTTATTCGCTCCTTTACATTCCTGTCATTATGCAATGACCGCACATGACGAAACAGGCTCTCGGGACCGGTTATCTGTTCCTAAATCTCCTTTCAGCCTCTGCAACTCGGTCCTGCCTGGGCGTCGATCCCAGCCCCGGGGAGCCCGGGGAAGACGGCACCCCCGGAGAGCTCCGTCCGACTGCCCAGCTCACTGCACAGCTCGTGTTCCAACACAGCAGCAGCAGAGCTGAGTGCTGCCTCGTGCCTTTGTCGTCTAGGGTATATCGTCCTGTCCTTCTGCACCAGGGTGCTATTTACAAACGTGCAAATCGCCTTCACACAACACTCGACGCACAGAGCCGAGGTAGCTCCTAGAATATTATTATGAAACTTGTACGAAGGGGGCAAGCCGAGCGCCAGGAGCGCCAAAGAGCAACCCAGACTCTCAGGAAAAACAGCAGAAGAGCATTAAACAACAACAAACAACAACATGTGTCTATACGAGAATGGTGCCTTAAACAGAAACTTATGGTGGTGAGTTCTCCCAGGTCCCTGAGAACAAAGGACAGGCGACCAGCAGAGTAAGGGCAGTGTCAGGGCGACGGGCACGCGCGCCACAACTGGGGAGACGGGGAGCACTGGAGGTGTGTCGCCCGCTCCCCAAAGAGGGTTGAACGACTCCCCTCTACCTATGCCGGCCCGCGGCCCCCGGCCTCTCCATTTTAGAAGACAGCCACCCCTCTCCCATCCCCTCCGCCCCACGCCCCGATCCACGAACGCTGTCACCCACCTCCGAGGACCGTGCCCAGGAAGATACATTTCTTTTTGTGACGTTTGAGAAAATGCCACGTCGATCTCAGCATCTTCAGGCCCTGGAGGTGCGGGCTGCCTAGGGGGAGGGGCGGGGGGGCACCAGGAAGCCGTTTCTCTGTCTCCGGCCCTGGACCACCGACCCGGCAGGAACGCCGTGGCCCCGCTGGGCGCTCTCCAGAAATCGCAAAGGCGACTTTCCGCGGACTG